CACAACCTCAGAGCCCTGTTTCTTAGGACTCTATTGTCCAAGGGCTCAAAGTTCACAACAAACTTGTAGATAACAAGCTCAAGACATCTGGTCAGCTAGCAAGGTGTAGAAGCCCAACTATGCCACAAGGTTGGCATTGGGTCATGTTCTGTGCATAGTAACTGGAAGGGCAAGTGACAGTGGCCAAGGAGCTCTGCAGAGGTATGGCAGGGTATGCAGTTCAGTGAGCTAGAAGGCTGGGACCCTCCCAGAGGCAATTACAGCTGGTGGGCACAATTAATACTATTACATAGGCAGTTCCAGGAAAAAATAATGAAATCATGTAAATACCCTGGAGTCCCTTTAATACTGTGCCTGTTTTTGAAAAAGGTCATTAACCACATACAGAGGCAAAATGGTAGTGAAAGACAAGTTTGTTTGTTTTTTTTCTGTGGCCTTCCTTGCTTTGGCCACTGAGTTAGTTTTAAGAACAAATGCTATTGATAGCTATTGAAATATTTAGGATCTCAGTGTTCCTGTGGGTCAGGAGTCCAGGAATAGCTTAGCTGGAGGCCTATGGCTCAAGGGCTTCCATGTAGCTGTAATCAGCTTGACTTGAGAGGAGAAATCCATGTCTAAGCGTGCTCGTAGGGCCCTTAGCAGATCTTGGGGCCTTGCCTCCTCCAGACGGAGTTTCTCCATAGGCAGCTCAGAGGGCTCACGCATGGCATAGAGAGCTGAGAGCACCAAGATAGGAGCCTGGCCTTCCTGCTTCCTGGTCTCAGATGGGACATACATCACGTTTACTATAGTCTGTCCACGAGAAGGGAGGGGCCAGGTCGAATTTACACTCCAGAAGAATCACATGTGGGAGTGACTGCCTGCAGGCAGCCATCCCTTGGGAACCATCTTAGGGGTGGCCATTCCTGCCACCCTCCTTGCCTTCATGTCAATAGTAAGAACAGTTATGGATGATATTAAACTAGCAGGGCTGCTATGAGAGTCAAAGGACAAGGACTGAAGGACAGCTTTAGAAATGGGTCCGGGACAAGTAGTGTCCCAAAGGGTCTTTACCCCACCCTCAGATCAAACTATGGAGGCCAGAAACATGCATTGTAACAGAATTCCATGCACATCTCAAGCACATGAACACATAAGAATGGTTTACATAATTTTCTTTCTCTAAATTGGGAAATAAAAAAAAGACAGAGAAATTAGGTAAAATTGACAAGGGAGATAAGGGGCAAATTTTTCTAGCCCTTAGCCACTTCTCCGAGGTCCTATCATCTACACGATGCTCTTGGGCTAGGTCTGGGCGCAGAGCAGCTCGTAGGTAGTGGAAACCCTGGCGATTCCAATTTCCTTGCATCACCTGAGCCTCACGGGAGCAGTGCCCGTACCCACTTAGACTCTGCCAGCACTCAGTATGATGGACACCCCACCTCCGCGGTTACCTTCTACCCCACAACTGCACTCGAAACAACAAGTGTACTTGGCAAATGATTGGAAAATACATATACTTTTTTTATTATGTTTAATACATCTCAATGCACCTTCACTGGGCTTTCTCCTTACCAACTATAAATGCTCATTATTTTACCCAGATGAAAATGGAGATGTGTCTAGCTGCAATTTATGGCAGAAGGAAATGTGATTTTGACCATCAAACCATGTTATCAGTAGTTAGAAGGCATGGCAAGATGGCATCAAAGCCATCCCTTTTCATCCCAGAAAATGATCCTTAAAATACCCCTCCCATAGATAGTACCTTACCTCATCCCCTAGGCAATCTAAACATCCCAGCCTTCACAATTATTATATATACTATACATAGATGTATGTATGTATACATTTTATGGTTCCTATTATCATTTTCAACCTTTTCTCTAGTTCTGACCATTGGGGAAATGAAGAACCGATACTTTCAGAGCTTTTACTATTTATTACGTCACTGTTCAGCTTTGTTCTGCCAACAAGGAAGCAAGGGACACATGTTAAAGATCACATTCACCCATTTGTATTGTCACTTAAAAATGAGAAATTTAAAAACTTGGCTTTGGTAGTTGACCTAATCTGAGCTTTGACACAGATTCCAGAGACACTGAGCATTAAAAGCAGAGGAGGTATTTTTCTTCCTTACTTTTGACTATCTGCACAATAAAGCCCTCGGAGTTTCATAGATCAATTAGCAAGAATTTCCAAGAATTGTAAAATGTATCAAATATTCTTCTAAAGCAACGCCAAAATTAAGTTCAGCTTCACCCATTCTCTTTATCTGTTGCTCAAAAAAAAAAAAAAAAAAAAAAAAAAGTGATATATTTAGGGCCAGGGAGATGGCTCAGTGAAATAAGCGCTTCCCTCGCAAGTGCAAAGGCCTGAGTTCAATCCCCAGGTCCACAAAAAAAAAAAAAAAAAAAAAAAAAAAAAAAAAAAAAAAAAAAAAAAAAAAAAAAAAAAAAGTGATATCTGTTGCTCCTTTATAGTATCTCAGGGGAAGGCAGGTCAAATGCAGTGCTCATTCTGGAAAGGGACATGACATCAGAGGTTGCCAGGGGTGACCACCAAGGATGTAACAGAGCCGGAAGAGCAATTGGGCTCCTGGCTGGGAGCCCCAAGTTCTTTATGCTTAATATCATTCTAAACAAAAGCACATCTACACACATTGTAGATTTAACAATATATTTGCCGTTTTCATTTGCATTCTCAGTGCTGCAAATTTACTAGCATTGCATCATCACAGAGGTTTGAAAAGATTCCCCCTCCCCCCGCAAAAGAAACCTTATCACTACATCTGAGAAAACTGTCTTCAAAATTCCACCAGTGCTGTGTTGGCTGAGACAAAACTTGCCTGCATCCGCAGTGAGTAACATGCCCGGCACAAGCGCGAAAACAAGTGACCAAGCCCAGCATACTTACGGGCAGACACAATCATGGCTGTCTTGATGCAGGGCCACATAAGACAGACTCACTTCTTCAGCTGGCCTCCACTCACAAAAGCACATCATGTAACTGCAGTCATCGTTCGCCCAGGGTGTTTCTCACGGGCAAACTTAACCACACCTATTTTCCTATTCTAGAAACCTCAAAGCATGTGAATGACTCCCTCATGACCTACGTCAGAAAGTTCAGCCCTCTGCATTCTGCAGGGGCGCGCTACTATTTCCTCCTTCCCATGTGTGTAGGTGGTCACTACAAACAACATTTTAAAAAAATCACCAACTTTTTGTAAAAAGGGTCTAAAAATTATCAAGTCAGACTGCCTTTTCTGGGCAGACAACAAAATAAAGGAACAGACAGGATAAGGGACCTGGCCCAAAGTTAGAGGGTAGGTGAGAGAAAGAGCTGGAATCTAGGCTTTAGAATCTCAAATTTTGCCCCAGGACTCAGGATCGACCTGTCAGTTGCCTTATTTGGGAGGGAGGAGGAGACAATCCAATGATACTTTTAAAAACTCACTACACTTAGGAGTAACTTAGGCACAGCTGAGGAATATGAGAACCACAATACCAACAATGCAAAATGCATGAGACAGTCTTACTCAGTCCCCAGGAAAACACAACTCAAATGTGACTAATGAAGGGGCAACTTCAGTGAAGAAACACAGAGTCACACTGCCCTTGCTACTTCCTGCCTTGTAGATTAAGATCTTTGTTAGCACTCTGGGTGGATACTTCTATTTTGTTTTACTTAATCTTTTGCCTTAGCTATTTAAGCTTTTTCTTTAAGATCTAGAAAAAATGATTGAAAGATTTTTAAAGATAATGTTCCCAGAGTTGCCAGCTATTGTCTTGTCTTCCGGCCATGACGCCCGGGGTAGGAGCTGCACCTTCCCTCACTTGCCCCACCACTCCTCTCCTCCCCACAGCTGCTCAAGGCCAGCGGGCTGGGGTGGTGGGGATGGTTAGGCACAGCTTCCTCGGCGCCGGCTCCTGGGGTGACCTACAAGTTACTTACAAGGTGTGGATGTGCTAGCGATGGGGACACAGTTAAGCAGCAAGAAGAGAAAGAATGTGTGAAATTGTGACTTTTCTCTCTCATAAAAAGTCCAAGAACATGATGAGCACAGCCTCCAGCAGGCCGGCTGCCAGGCAGACTCCAGACCAAAACTATGTTGCTTTTTCTTTTGGCAGAACCGGGGATTGAACTCCGGCCCTTACACTTGCCAGGCAAGCGCTTATTCTACTGAGCTATCTCCCTGGCCAAAACTATGTTTCTGAAGAGCTACTCAAAGCAGCCGGCTCTTTCCTGCATGTTCATCAAAAGCTTCACAGTGCAGGAAAAGACCATGGCAGTCCCCAGAGGAGACAGAACTCCTCAGGGAGATGCCATGTCTTCCTCAGCTTTCTACCATGACAAATACCTAAAAAGCATTGACCTCTTCTCTGCCCCTGGCAAGTGGGAGGGGATCTCTTCCATTAGGTTTGTGAGGCCAAAGGGAGGCTCTGATTCAGTTGGTATCTTAGAGGTGGATAAAGGTGAGAACCCTCTCTCAGATAAGAGAGCAAATTCTTAACATTTAGGAACCAACTCATTCCCATGTTCAAATTTTCACCTGATTCCACTCGTCTGTGGCCGCTGTGGGCAAGGTCATATGCCTGTAACCTGGGATCCCTGGGGGTGGAGGCTGGGGAGGCATACCCAGACATGTCTACGTAAGTGAAAGGAGGGATAAAAGAGGGCCTAGCCTTTCCTCTCTTGGGTAGGGAATATTTACCCACAAAAAAAGGAGATATCCAGTTCATAGAGTCTCTAATCCTAAAATGAGTTAAAGTTTTACAAAATTAAAATACAACTCATGCTTCTTATAAATATATAACTTTATATATTATTTGTATTTACAAAATCATACAGCATACAAATATTTTCAATGTAATACTAAGAACAGTTTTGAATCCAGGCTTGTTGGCACATGCCTATAATCCCAGCACTCGAGAGACTGAGGCAGGAGGATGGTTGTAAGTGGAAGGCCAACCTGGGCTACAAAGTAAGGTCAGGGCTAGCCTGAACTGTATACTGAAACCCTGTCTCAAAAGGACAAAAAAAGTATTTAAAAAAAAGATCCAAGGTATATTCCTGATTCAGACAGTGTTCCAGGCACTGTGGAAGTCTAAGGAAGAGAGGGGGTCCTACGGCATGGCTACAGCACCCTCCCCTTCCCTAATACCTGGCATTCTACCTGCTCCAGCTGACATGGTCCCATGTGTATCCCCCAAATGGGCAAAGCCCAGGGCCTGAGCAAAGGCCCACATGCTGTTAGTCACCAGTTCTAAGGTAACAATTCCACAATTTGGAGGACTTGGTCACAGAGCGAAGGCTGGTCTAGAAGTAAGTGCTGTAGTTGTTTAACTTTGTAAGTTAAACACTCCACACATCCAGGTGCCAAATTAATCCAGCCACAAGCTTCTTCTTCCCCAGGCTCTGGAATCTGGAAGGCCTTGCTCGCAGCACCACTCATCTTCCGAAAGTTTCTTCACATTCAGCTAGCTCATCTATCCTACGCAGCAAGTCTGCAAACGAAGGCCTTCCCTCTGGTTTCTACAATTAAAAACGAAAAACAGTTGGTGCCAGAATTCACTCTCAGGAAAGGTCTTATTGCTCCAGCTCTTACAACCCAGCAGAGTATAGCAAGCAAATCGCAGCTTTGGGCCTGGAAGGTGCAGGCATCTCCGCACACGTCTGTCTCTCCTCTAAGTGCCTCCTAGTGCTGCTAGACTACCATCAGTTACAGGATGCTTTCACGTCCCCTTGGAAGGACCTCCTGGAATGCCTTTGTGCCTGTGAAATCAAGTTCTGCTCAGCTACAGGCCTCTGTAACCTTCTCTCCCCCATCCTTTATTCCCCAATTTCATTCCACAGAAAGCTTCACGTGGCTCTCTTCTAAATTAGATTCTCTTTTGTCACTGTCAAACATGTGAATGAGTTACGGCCATTGCTTGACCAATTTGCTCTCTGTGAAAGGCTGAGAGAATGTTCTCTCTCCATGTGACTCTCGTTAGGCACACTCTACATCATCAATCACTTTCCTCTTTGGCCCCTTAATCTCCTTGATCAGAAAATTTGGGACACCACTGAGTTACAGGATTTTACAGTACAGGTTCTCCTACGTCCTGAGTCCTCACTGATCTTGTAAGGCTAGGGCCAAACTGCGGTACAGTGTTTCAGGGTAAATCCTGAGGAGATTAGACTGACCTTGTCAGATACAAAAGTTACATTTCTTGCTATATAGGTTTTGTTTTATCTTGATCTTTACTATCAAGCAGAAAAGTATAATAACGAGGTATAAAAAGTAAAGACATTCATATGCTGAGCTGTAAAAGGCTCAAGTCAACAACTTCGGACACCGTCAATCCTGCGGATAACCCACTACTATTATAGAATACTGGACTACATTGGATTATTTTGCTGAATTCACATACCTACAATATTTAAATGGCAAGGGAATACCCTTCTCTGGCAAAACTAAAAAAAAGGGGATACAAATGAAGGACCATTTTGTATCTGTATATACAAAATAGTTAGGGTAGATATACAGCTATTTTCACTTAATTCAATGAGAAGAAAGATTTGTACTAATAGTGTTTGGATAGAATATCATGTCTGCATCTTGTACTATGAAGAACCACTAAGAAGACAATATGCAATGTATTAATTATTAAAACTGTCCTACTAAGTGGTTTTGAAACTGTCTCATTGCTATTTGTTTCTCAATAAAATTAATTAAAAAAAATCAGATTCTTCTACCTCAAGTATGCATTATGTTTATAACTACCTCCCCATCTCTAAGCTGTTTTCCTCCTGCCCCCAGTGCCATTTCCTGCCCAGAAAGTCTCTGCCCACCCCAGTGCTCTCAGGAGGTGGGAGGTGTTACAGCAAGTGACAGTGAGGCTAGGCCATGGGCTCAGACAGGCACTTGCTGTAACTGGGCCAGGGCAAGCCACAACCTCCTGAGCCTACTAAATCTTCTCATCTACAAAATGGTCACCATAGAAGCTTCCACACCTCAAAGGGCTGCTGTGAGAACTAATCAAAAGTACTCAGTACAGGCCCCATACACACCAGTCAATGTCACTGTTTTTCAAAAGTTGTTTTGGTGCCTAATCTCTTCCATGAAGTGACATCCAGAATTCCCTGAGAATGAGTAAAGAGATCTCAGGAAGCTGAAGTTTGGAGGGAGAAATTCTCCTCAGTGAATGAAGGATACTTCAGTTCCACAAGTGACTCACAGAAAGGAAGAGAGCAACTTCCCCAGGCCCGTTCCCTGTCCCTGGCTCACCCAACCAGGGAAAGATTGTCATGTGGGACTAAGAGAGCAGCCTGAATTTATTAAATTAGCACTTTCTAGGTCTTTTCATCACTCAGAACTGAAGTGAGGGGGTTAGTGTCCTACTGACAGCTTGATGTCACTATAACACATGCCGCACCTTCCTTGGCTACAAAGGCTGCACATTGTCTACCCACTTGGCCCACCGCAAAGTGCTTTAGAGACTCAATAAGAGAAAGAGAAGTATCTGTACCTCCTGCCAACATCGCACCATCACCTCATACACATTCTGGGATGCCAGCTTCGGGCGGTAGAGTCGGTGGCCTTGGGTAACCATGGTTACCACTTCATAATTGGTGCTTTTCTCAAAGGGCATTCTGCCTTCAGTGAATACTTCCCACATTAAAACACCTGAAAAAAGATAAAGGTTACAGAACGATGTGCTGGTTTCCTCCGCAGAGCACAGCTGAGGAAATGAGGAGTGCGGGGCTTACCAAAGGACCAGACATCCGATTTGCTGCTAAAGCGGCTGTAATTGAACACTTCGGGTGGACACCACTTCACGGGGAACTTAGCACCAGAAGAACTTGTGTACTGATCATCCAGAACATACCTAGAGGAAGAACGCCAGAGGCTTGTACATCTCAAGTACGAACTGTGCTTTCCACAAGTGCTCTCATTTGCTCCCTTATAATCAAAAATGCACTTGTAAAGTCCCCTCAGCATCCAGCTGAAGCCCAAGGCCACCTCAGTGACCACACCTGGTGATTTCCATTTTCCTCTCGGCACGTTTAGGGACATGAGAGGGAAACATCAGTAACCACACTTTCATTTTTGTTTATCTTTTAATTTCATTAGGCAGAACAGGCAGAATACAATAAAACAGCTTGCAAACTTTTTAAAAACAAGTTTGCTCTTTAACCCAAATCGCACTTGTGAGAAGAGAGCTGCCCTAGAGGAAGTGGTGAGCAGGGGCAGACACATGCTTTGAGCCCTCTGGGACTCCACGAGCACAACTTGAACCTATAGCGTACAAAGAAAGCAAGTGGAAAAGGCAAAATGGCTGCGTGTGGTGATGCACACTTGTATTCTCAGCCCGCAGGAGGCCGAGGCAGGAGGATTGCCGTAAATTCAAGCCCAACCTGTGCCACACAGTGAGTTCAAGGCCAGCTTATATGACAAAATGAGACTGAGTCTTAAAAAAAAAAAAAGGAAAATGAAGTATGTAAACGTTGTTGTGAATACATTTATACACCACAATATTCCCACTCACACAGATAATCAGAATAACACCATATCGTTTTTCTATGTGTACATATTTATGTCCTTCCCGAAGGACATACAGAATCTAGTAACAAACAGTGGCTCTTTCTGGGGAGACTTTGATCAGAGGTGGTAAAAGTGAGGGCTTCAGCTCTTTCTGTAATGTGTTCTGTACATATTTACAAGGGGAATGTATCTATCATTATATGTGCTAACAATTTCTAAAAGTTGCCATGAGAAAATATTAAAATAAATGCAAGAGCTTCCTTTGTTATACAATACAAAGATGGTCCCTGGCAGACAGTGCTCCCAATACAGACAATGGGTTGGGTCAAGTTGTTCTCAGTCAGGAGAGCCTGAAATTGGTACACAAAGAATGCTTTAACCATGTATTATATGAAAACACGGATTTTCTAAAAGCTGAATATCTGAAGAAGGCACATATGAAAATGGAGGACAGGCCACCAGACACTCAACATCTTCATGTGAACCACAGAGAGCACCGGGTGGTCAGCAGCTCTGGGGGCAGAGGCTGATAGTGAGGGCTCCCCGACCTCCCCTCCTGAGCTTCCTCAGGAGCTGACCATGGCTCCACAGGGCCTGTCCTCGGCTGCCACTCTGCTGCTCCTCATGCTGCCCATGGGCCAGCGGCCTGGCCATCTTCTGGTTTCCTGAGTGGCCCAAACTCATCCCAGACATCAAGTTCTGCCCTTGCTGCCCCTTCCACCTGGAAAACTTCATGCTTAGATTCTCACTAATGGGTTACTTTTCCCTTGGGGTCTCACAGAAAGTCTTCCCGCCACTAGATCTAAAAAGCAGCCATCACTCCTGTCCCACCCTAAATTATCTCTCTTGAAGAGATAATGGCCTCTTTTTACCAGATGTTTTTCTGAAAAGGGCCAGATACAATGCACAGTCATTCAGATCCCACAGGCCCCACGTCCCTGGGACAACTGTCAACTGCACCTGTGCAGCACTGCCGCCACAGACCACACCTTGGCAAATACGCAATGCTCTGTCTCAACAACACTACTTTTATGAACACCGATAGGCATTTCAAAAAGTCTTCAAACTAGTCTTTGAATTTTCTTCAGCCATTTAAAAATGCACGCTGCACTGCTGGCTTGAAGGTGGAACAGCGGCGAAGGGCGGCTCAGCAGGCCATCGCTTGCTGGCACGCCCTGCTCTCACACACACTGCTCACAGCCCTTCTGCTTCTTCTTCCTCCAGAGCAGACAGTGCACTGTGTGGCGGTGCACAAAGCTCAGTCTCCACTCTGGTTCCTGGGGTTGTGCCTGGCATGCAGCACGTACCTCACATTTTTATGCATGGAGAAATGGAGGTGCATGTTTCATAGGAAACATGACAGTGGCAAGCCATACAGTTATATGTAGAAGATGAGTAAGGCAATGATCCTGAGAATCTTTGGAAGATTTTTGAATCTAGCAGTTAATTGGAAAGATTCTCACCCTGACTAACTATATGTACTGACACCTGTGAACTAAGCAACTGCACTGCAGACGGTAATCTGTAATAGTGGTTTCATGCTTGGAGTGCCTGTCATTCTGGTCTTCTGAATATGGGCTGTTTGTCATGACATGCCAGTTGCTGCTGTGCTGTCTCTCAGGTAGATGACTGTTCAAAAAGAAGGGGGTGGTGAATGAAGGCAAGAGACAGGAAAAGGAATATTGCGGGACTGTCCTGCTACAAGGTTGTATATGGTTAGATTTCTGGACTTATGTGTAAACATAAGAATTATATAATTCTTTATGCCTATTTTTAAAATATATTTTAATTTTTAAAATGTTTTTTCATCATATTCTATAGGGACTTAAAGTTTAACATATCAAAGCTTGATGAAAAATACCTGTTCCATGTTATGCCTAAGATATTTGATAGACAGATAGTGAGGTTAAGCTTAACAGCCTAGGTTGTATGGTAATAACAACAAGCTTGTCTTCTGGAGGGTTAACAACCTAAGTTTGCAGACCAAAAATTAGAGAAAAAGGAGGGCCACAAGGAAAGCCAACATTTTAGCCCTAGCCTTCCAGGTCAATTAAGACTCAGGACATATGGGAACTTGTACTGTAATGACATGTAATTCGGTAGTGTCCCAAATTTTCTCATCAAGGAGATTATGGGACCAAAAAGGAAAGTGATCGATGATGTAGAGTGTGCCTAAGGAGAGTCACATGGAGAGACAACATTCTCTCAGGCTTTCTCAGAGAGCACATTGGCCAAGCAATGGCCCTGACTCATCCACATGGCTGACACTGACAAAGGATCTACAATCTGAGGTACAGAGTCTCAGGATAAATCCTGAGGAGATTTGACTGACCTTATCAGATCCAAAGCTACAACTCTTGTTGCATAGGTCTTGCTTTATCTTGGTTGTAACCATCCAACAGAAAAGTATAAAAATGAAGTATAAGAAGTAAAGCTGGGGCTGGGGAGATGGCTCAGTAGAATAAGCGCTTGCCTGGCAAGCTCAAGGGTCTGAGTTCAATCCCTGGTTCTGCCAAACAAAAAAAGAGACTTGTATCCTAGTACCAGTACACACACACACACACACACACATACACACACACACACACAAAGAAGTAAAGCCATGCTGTTATGTTGAGCTGTAAGGGACTCAGGTCAACAATTTCTGACATTGCCAATCAAGCAGAAGACCCAATACTACTACGGACTACTGGACTCTTTTGGAATATTTTGCTGAGTTCATACACCTATAATATTCAAATGACAGAACTGAAAAAAAAAAAGGGATACAGATGAATGTCCATTTTGTTGGGATAATGGTTAGAATAGATATATAGTTACATTCTCTTAATGAGTAGAGGGATTTGTTCTAATAGTGTTTGCAAATAGGATATAATGTCTGCATCTTGTACAGCAAATAACCACTGGAAGGAGAGTATGCGGTATGCTAATTATTGAAACTGTCCTATCAATTTGATTTCAGACTGTCTCATTGCTATTTGTCAATAAAATTATGGAAATAAATAATAAATAAAAATATAAATAAATGAATAAATAAATATGTGTGTGTGTAAAATTGATACAAATAAATAAATGTCCTTAGCAGGAAAAAAAAAAGAAATGGAGGTGCAAAAGAGACAAACTACTTTTTATGGTCTTTCAAATCACTCTACTGAAACTACGAAAATTAAGTCATCAAAGCACTGCAGACTTAGTTTAAGCTATGCCTCTGACCGCCAAAGTCTTGTGAAAACCAGGGTGAAAAGTTGTGTACTTAGCAGGCTCTTCTACCACCTAGTGGAGAGAATTATTAACACCACAGTTTCTGGTTATTTTAATATATTTGTCTCAGAACTGTTAAAATTTCCTTATTAATTACCACACTTATTAATTCCACATAGCAATGTGTGTGTGTGTGTGAATATGACTTCCAAGCACGTGTACTCAACCATACCTCGCCATTCCGAAATCAGACACTTTTACAACTCCTGCCTCGTTCACTAGACAATTTCTTGCAGCCTGAAAAACAGTAGTGACATAGTACTTTTTAAAAATTTCACAACAACACTAGAAAAATGTAATTTATTCTATCATTGACTATAATTCATTCAATATTTTAAAAGGGTAGAAATATCTTCATATAAATTATTTTTATCCCCATGAAAGTGTTTCTAGTGCATGTATAAAATAATAGGAAGAAAAAATGGGTCAGAAAGTCACACTGTCAATAAAGTGTTATCACATCATCTTTACAAAGGCCAATAGGAAGAGTGATCCATTTTTCTCCTTCTGGCTCTACTCTCATTAAATTATGTGATTTTCTTACTAAGTATCACCGTCTCTTGAAGGCCTTCAACCAGGTTCTCAGTAGTGAGTTTAGTAACAAAGAACCAGCAAGATGATGGCCAACCAGTGATCAGCCACCTTAATCCTAAACTGTCAAAAAAAAAAATGCTTGTAAAGCCCAGCCAGATAGCTCAGTGGACTAAAGTGGATCAGGGTTCAAACCCCAGTGTGCCATGCTGATGCCAGCCCCAACCCTGGGGCACACTGAGACACAATTGAGACTGGCTGTGGTGGCACTCACCTGTAATCCCAGCACTTGGGAGGCTGAAAACAGGAGGATCACTATGAGTCCAATCTGTGTAGTGAGACCCTGTAGACCCCATACTAAATACATTTTAAAAAAGAATGCTTGCATCTAAACAGTGTCCCATTCATCATTTATGAGCTTTCCAGGATATCAAGACATAATTTTAAAAAACAAAATATGATATTCTCAACTTGTCATAGAAAATATCTGGATTTTTAAATTGTACTTCTTGCTCATTCTTCAAAGTTTAAGACAATAATTTGGTAGAAAAACATGGCATGTCTCCAAAGGAAGAAGCGATATTTTGAACACTGTAACCCAAGAGCAGAATGCAGTTTTCTTCCTGACTGTTCACAATCTTCTTTTATATATGTGGCAGTACCACTTACACGAGTTTTTCTCCTGATAAGTGCATGTTAAGATTCTCAACTGTTAGTTGCCTCCCTTCCTCAGAAGACACCCATTGTGCCTCCACTCAGTGGTCAGTGGGATTCTTCCAGCGGAAAGAAAAGCATGAGAATCTTCCTTCATGGGTACTGCGGACTATTACTAGTATCACAGACACAAAAACATCAGAACTTGTTTTTGCTAAGACAAGGTCTGTGTGTAACATGAACAGTCTACCACACTCATGCAGATAGTCAACTTGCACCAAAAGAGGAAGGTGACTAGTTCATGAGTACCAGGATAACTAAGAGCTGCTCTTCCTCACCACTGAGACTAATCACCATAAATCACGCACCCTGCCTGTCGGACAAGGCCTTGTGCCCCAGGCATACACTGTGATAGCTTTTATTGGTCTCTGTGTGCAATACATGATTGCACTTATCTTGGGGAACTGGCAGACACATTCGCATTTTAATCATTTTACTTTCCCTTCGCCTTCCTGCCCTCCCTTCTCCCCATCGCAGACCCCTGCATATCTCCATGAAGTCTACCTCCCTGTTTCCTAGCATCTCTTTTATTTTTCTCTTTAAACTATTTGTATTTTAGATTTCTCATATAGAAGAAACTGTGATTTTTAATTTTCTGTGCCTGATTTATTTCACTTAGCACTACAGTCTCAAGATACATCCATTTTCTTACTAATGACTCAGATTTGTCTCCATCACAATTATTTTAAAATCAGTACCAGCTTTCTTTTTCTGTAACTTCCAGATGAGCCTCCATCTTTTCCTGGTGGTTTGAGGAAGAAAAGAAATTAAAGAATTTCTCAGACAGCTCCGTGTAAAGTGTGGGAGGTGGAATAGTTTAGGATTGTGTCAGAGGCAGGCCAACCCTAACTTCTCTATTTTATCCTACTAGGCAAGCGATTTCACTTCCCTGAAGCCAGATCTATTATCTCGAAAACAATAATGGTAATAAACCTTCGATGACTAGCTAGCTCACTGGATTTTTCCAGGAGATCACGTAATGTATGAAAGCTTGGTTGGAGATAAGTTATAAGTTATTAAGAGTTCATAAAAAATATTTCCTTTAAAATTACGAGCCAAAACATTGTTAGAAACAAAAACTGGGTCCTTTTTAAATATACCACTGACCATCGGCCGAGCCAGTGAGACAGAGGTCAGGCCCAGGAATTCACGGGAGGACAGGGGTGCTTGGTTACCAGGTCTCGGTGGATGAAGCTGTTAGTCTCCAAGTACTCCATCCCTTCGCACACATCCTGACACATGCTCAGCAGCATGTCTCTGCTGAAGAGGCCTTGTCTCTGCCGGAGGAAATTCAGAAGGCAGCCTCGTTCCATGAACTCGGTGACGATGTAAATGGGTTTCTGCTGAGTGCACACGCCATAGAGCTGCACCAGTTTCGGGTGCGTCAGCTTCCTGGTATGAGGTCATATTCAGAGTTATGAGAAGCAAAGAAAGGGGTACGTGGGTTGGCTGGGGAGGGACAGCTCTTTAATACAAAAGCAAAGCCCAGAAGGAGACGGTGACTTACATCATCACCTTAGCTTCTTCTATAAAGTCCTCCTCACACATGGCCCCTTCGCGAATTGCTTTGATGGCTACTTTGTACTGGGCTCGCCACTTGCCCAGTCGCACCACTCCGAAGAGCCCACTCCCCAGCTCCCGCATAAAGGTCAGCTCTGAAGGGTTAATCTCCCACTTCTCTGTAAGACAGAGGGAAAGCAACAGCAGTTACTAAGGAGAAGGCGGTCAATGGCATGGAGGAGGGAAAGGCTAACCAAGATCAACCTCAAAGTTGGAAGCGCTGGGAAGCATGGAGCACAGCCGCAGCCCAGTGGCAGCTCCCTGCTCCCCTTCCAAGTGTCACAGGACACACAGGCAAAGGAGCTCAGGAGGGGGAGATTCTGCATAAGGGGCTGCTTTCAGTGGACTGAAAGCTAAGGTACTTCATGGTGGCGTATTTCATTATTTTATTGGCACAATTTAGGTACAAAATGACTGTATTCACTCTATGAATCCTCCTAGGGCATATGAGATGTCCTGATTTCTTTCTTTTCCCCTCCCCTCCCTCAACCCCTCTCTTCCCTTTCTTATTTATAAAGCTTTGTTTCTATTTTGCCTTCTTTCATTTTTTTCTTTCCCCTCATTTCCTTCCCCTTCCCCTCCCTCTATTGCCTCTTTCCTTTTGAACAATTTTTTCTATCTCAAAATATCTATGCACATTTTAACCTCACTTATTCTTTCAGTGTCTCACATTAGGGAGAAGATGAGATATTTATGCATGTGTGTCCCATTTGTTTCATGTAAAAATAGGGTCTCAAAGTGCTTCAAAATACACAGACTTCCTCCTTTATCACTCTTCACTCTGGATTTTTTTTTTTCTTCTTCTTCCACTTTACTGAGTTAGAATTAAACCTGCTATTTTAGGGCCGGTCAGATACCTCATCAGATAAAGCACCAGCTTAGGCAGATGCAGGGACCTTGGCATGCAGTGCTGGTTCCACCCCTGGGACGTGCTGAGTCAGTGACTGAGATTGGGCATGGTGGCGTGTACCTGTAATCCCAGTGTTTGGGAGGCTGAAAACAGGAGGATCACTACCAGTTGGATCTGTGTAGTGAGATCCTGTAGACTGTGCTAAATACATTTAAAAAAAACAAAACCCTGCTATTTTAAAAGGCTTCTGCCAGAAGCAACAAAAACAATCAAGTTGAAAGCCTTCTCTGTTACCTCTGCCCTGACATTCCAGAGAGGAAGCTACAAAGCCAATGCAGACCAGAAAAGGCTATAATTGTTTTAGATGTAATGCTCTAAAATTAATTTATATTCACAAAAAGTTTTCTACTAGTTGGATGTGGTGGTGCACACTGATAATCCCAGCCCTCGGGAGGCTGAGGGAGGAGGATCATTTCAAGCTCAAGACTAGCTTGGGCTACATAGTGAGCTCAAGGCCAGCCTGAACTGCATAGCAAGACCCTCTCTGAAAAAGACAAAAAATAAGTTTTTTACTGAATTATTAGTGATAAAAATAGAAAACCTACTCTGCCATAAGGAAGGATAACCCTGAATTATTTGTGGATTGAGACCATAATGCTAAGTGAAATAAATCAGATGCACAAGTTTAAACATAAGATAGTTTCTCTTACATGGAAAACCCAGAATACCAACGAAGAGCAAAATAAAAGATAAATACTAGAAAATAGGGAGACAGATCTTCTGCAAATGGCAAGGAGATCCAGAGATGGAAAGGAGGGGCCGGGCAGATGGCTCAGTGGAATAAGCGCCTTCCTGGCAAGTGCCAGGGCCTGAGTTCAATCCTTGGTCCCACTAAAAAAAAAAAAAAGAGAGAGAGAGAGAGAGAGAGATAGAAAGGAGAGGAGGGGAGAAGCAAAGAACTGAGATGTGTTCTGTAAAGGTACACTAACTCCCCATGAGGAGTGTAATCACTGTGTACTACAAACATGTACTAAAAGAAAAACAAAAACTTTTACAAATAAAATTGAAAACTTAGGCTTATAGTAGCAATGAAACATAATCATTTAAAGACCCAAACTATAAAAGTTAGCTTATTTTTTAAAAAGTTCAGCTGAGTGGGATTTTACACATCTAAATCTGTTCAGTGATAAAAGATTCTAAGGATTTGAGGGAAATTCGCCAGTGCAAGCACAAAGCGAGAGTTACCATAGCTGAAGCCTGCTGTGGTTGGTGCATTCTTCCCCTTTGTACTAACAGGGTACCGCAGCCTCGTGACAAGTCCTAAGAAACAAAGAAAGTAGAGTTGAAGTCATTCTGAACCATTCTACATAGCCAAATGCTACCCTGGAAATGCACGTACAAAACACTTCCACGTACTGCTCATCTCCTGTGTGGACAACAGCACTTAGCTTTATGTGTTCATTCAACGTATTCTTTTCTAAATACTGCCATTTTAAATCAGGCCTCATGCTAGCTTCCTCTTTTCTGAAACATTTTTAAAGGATATTAAGAAGTTTCTAACTGCTGTTACCAGCAATTACTTCATATTCTTTTCCAGTATGATAACTAAACTATGAAAAAGAATTATATCAGTCTACTTCAGATTTACCCTTCCATCCCTCCATCTCTTGGTCTGCTTGTCAGGATTTGCCTGACACAATTCAGTGTTAGCAAGTTTTGCATAAAAAAAAATTGAGATTTTAACTTTAAGACTTTAGTAAATGGGAAGCATCAATTATCAGAAATGAGTGAAATTAAATCCTTTAACCTAAGCTGTCTATAGCAATAAATAAGAAATAGGAGGTGCTTCTTCTATAAACACCCAGAAGGCCAAGGAGATGGCTCAGTAGGATAAGCGTTTGCCTGGCAAATGCAAGGGCCTGAGTTCAATCCCCGGTTCTGCCAAAAAAAAAAAAAAAAAGAAAGAAAGAAAATATAAACACCCAGAGCACTCACTCTATTTCTTCTACTATAGCACATTTTGTAGTAATTAAAAACTATTATATACACCACTGTCCCCCTTTAGGGGGTAAGACCTAGAAGACTCAGGAGCCATGACTCTTCAGTCCAATGCAGTCTCCTAAAACATAGCCTGTTTTTTTTACTATGAAGTAAGTGCTAAGTATATGTTTGTCATGAATCAAAATAATGGCCAACATAAGTCCCATTCAAGAACACAAAAGAAAAAAGGAGGAGAATGCTAGCATGAAAGAAAGAAAATAATAGGAAATACAAAGTTTTCTTGGGATAAATCGATATGAATTATTTCCTCAAATTTTAAGCACAGAATTGCCATATAATCTAGCAAATCCGCTCCTAGGCTGATACCTAAGGGAAATGAAAGCACATTTATTTCCCAGCACATTTCCAAGAGCACCTGTACACAAGTGTTCCTATCAGCATTCTTCACGGAAGCCAGTGTAAACACAAGACATGCAATGGTTTATCATTATCAATAAAAGGAAATGGATACCTCATGCAAAAGCCTGCCTGAACTTAGAAATTCCATCTTCCACAGAAGTCCTTCTTGGGACATATTAGACATAAGCAGACTATACAGGCTAATTTATAAGGGTCATGCTCAGCAAACTCATCAAAGCAAAATCTTTTATTGGAGATTTATATTTTTCCAGAATCTTTAGTGATATCTTCAGCAGCCCCCCCCCCCAAGCTCATTAAATCTACAGTTTGTATACATCCAGCTATGTCCTGGTTTCCATAAATAGATGAAAGCTGCCTTCTTATTACAACAGGTGGGGATTAAGATCCTGAGTCCCTAGATTCGGAGTTAGAGAAGCTGACCCTCTGTCTTGTCACTGCAGAATTACTTTTATTAAAGAGTAAAATGTAGATTTATATGTTGGCCTAAGAATCTAACCATCCCACAAATATTGTGCTAGGTTCCACAAATGGTAACTCAATAACTAGCACTTCCTGTGTAATTCCTGTGTAACCAACCCTGTGCATTTTGATAATTTCTGATTATTTCAATAAACTTGTAGATTTTTCAATTAAAAGGGGGGATAGAATACTTACACATGATACAACATGTAAAACTGTCAAAAACACTACACTGAAAACTGTCAGAATCTGAAACTAGTTACAACAGACCACATAGTGCATGATTCTACTTATATGAAATGTTCAGAATAGGCAAATCTACAGACCAAGTAGGTCAGTGGCTGCCTGGGGCTCAGCTGGAGAAGGATGGTGAATGCTAACGAGTACAAGATTTCTTTGGGCAATGATGACAGTGCTCTTAGAATCAGATTATGGTGACAGCACAACTCTGAAATATATTAAAAACTTCACACTTTAAAAAGATAAAATTTGGGGGACAGGATATCATGTCTGCATCTGGTGATATGAATAACCACTAAGAAGACAATAATATGCAATGTATTAATTATTATAACTGTCCTACTAATCAGTTTTGAGAGTATCTCATTGCTCTCTGTTTTTCAATAAAATTGTTAAAAAATAGATAAATAATAGCTCAGTAAAAAAGTAAAAATGCACTCACAAAAGAACAATAGTCTTTGCAAAAAAATTTGCTTTGTTAGGCTACACAGTGTACTGTTTCATCCTAAGGAACTTCAGCAGGCATAAATGTGGTTTGTGGGTTATTTTGCTTTGTTTTGTTTTGTTTTATTTTGTTGGTGTTTATATTGTTACCAATGAGATTCTGAGCAGAGCTGAGATTCAGAAAGAAAACTGAGCACATGATTACAGTTGGGACATGAATTTTGGCTTAAATTTTTTAACCTTACAACTGTATAAAAGCAATATGCATTCAGTAGGAAATGTACTTGATTTCTGAATTGGATCTTCATAGCTAATGACTCTGGATCTTCCCAGACACTGAGCTAGCAATGTACGGTATGAACCTTCAAGGAATGCTCGGTGGCCACAGGGATCCTCAGCTCCAGTCAGCTATGGGACCGACCTGCACAGCGGACTCTGTTGCTAACCAGGAGTTTAGTTGTTTAGGTGTAATGAATATACTGTTAACTTAGGCTATTTGAACTTATGATGGGTTTACTGGACATCCCACCACAAGTCCAGGAGTATCCTACACACCACTCTTTGGAAGCCTATAGCATAGAATAAAATCCTCAACTCATCTGACAGCTCCTGGGGCTATGTTAAAAAACAGATAGCTTTCTCTCTGCCTTTTTAAATTTTGAGACAGGATCTCTCTAGGTTCCCCTGGCTGGACTTGAACCCTTGAGTTCAAGCAATCTCTGCTTCAGCCTCACAGCTTGCTAGGACTAAAGTCACATGCCACTATACTTGGCTTAAATAGACATAGTTTGAATTTGAGTTTAGTATCAAGAATATAAAGTGCAGAAATGTGAATATTTCCCATATATCATTAAAATAAGTCCTGTCCTAAGTTTAAAACAGAGCTTTTTTTTTTTTTTTTTTTTTTTTTTTTTTTTTTTTTGCGGTACCAGGGATTGAACTCAGCTCTGCTCAGAATCTGATTGGTAACAAGACAAACACCAACAAAAGGGAGTGTGACACTGTCTAGCCCAACAAAGCAAGTCTCAATGGTTAGGCAAGTGCTTATTCTACTGAGCTATCTCCCGGACCCTAAAACAGAGCTTCTTGTGAAACTTGATAATATTTCTCATTTTTCTTTGGCTCTATCATTTCCTTAACATGCAGTAATTTTGTATCAATCATATCCTACAATTAGCTAACTATACAACAAAACTCTCAATGAGAATACATTACATGTCTGATCATGCTAATCACATTTTCATATTTGAAATAGATATTACAGCTTCCTTACCTGCCGCATTGTGCTTATGATATTCAATAAGCTCTGGTATTGAACCGAAAGCATGCTTTTCTGCTAGATAATATTTCTTTGGAGATGTTGCTGTTTCCTTTATGTGATAATGCCTAAAATTTGATGAACCTTCCCTATAACAAAAATCAAAATGCGTTACAACCGAGATGAAATAATGCAGCTTCACTCTTAGATGCTTTCTCCAGGGCAACCACAGGTTGCTTCTACACGGCTCCTTCTAATTCAGGCATAAGTCTTACTTTTCCCCATGTTCTTCCTAGCTTTGCCTTTCACATTAACGGGGACAAATTTTGAAAGTGGTCACTGATAATGTATTTGGTTACTTACATGAGATTGAAAGAGAAGGTTCATTAACTCCAGCCAACAACAACTCAAAGTTTTAAAATGATCATTAGTTGTTACCACCTTTTGTTTCTGCTATTGGGATAAATTTGTAAATGTCCAGAACACTTGAACTCCCAAAGTAAATATATTAGATTTTAAAAGTCCACATTCCTCTTTAAGTATCTTTACAGAATCCAGATCTTCTTTAGTCATCACTTGCTAAAAATGCTTTCATGATGGTTCTCATTGCTCTCAAGATAAATGTGTGCACCCTTAATGCTGATTATTAGGGCTTGTATCCAAATGTCTCCCCAAATCCTCATGCAGTCACAGGCAGAGCTTCTGAGAGGTGGCTGGATCAAGGGAGTGTGACACTAAAATTAAGAGTGTGTGGTACTGGATATGTCCACTAACTGCTTTAGCACAGTTCTGAATAAATTTACTGAAAACAAAAACCCTGCCCTGTATGCAGGTGGCACCAACCAATAAGCTGCAGCCTGGATGAAATCAAAGAGGAAAGGGAGGCGGGCTCCTGCTGCTACTTTCCTGCCTATCCTATCACGGATGGTTTCTCTCCTGCCATGCTCCTCTGACCTGCCTTGTCTTGACCAGCCAGCTATGGGCTGAAACCTCTCCAAACTGTGAACCAAAATCCACCTTTCTTCCTTTAATGTTGGGTGTCAGGTATTTTGACTCAGCAATGAGAAAAGTAACTAAGACATTGATGTTAGCTGTCTTCTGCTTTTACCTCTCAAGTCTCTCTTGCTCTCACACCTGTATCCCTTTCTCTAACCCAGCTATACACACTTTTTTTAGTTCCTTGATTTTCTGTATCCTCTCTCTCCTCTCGAATCAAGTAGTTTCAACGGTCAGAAAGCCTCTCCTTATTTCCATTTTTTTTTCTGCTTTACGTATGAGGTCTCAGCTTATGTAGTACTTAGGATGACAAGCGTGAATGACTCAGGCATGTCTTGGACATGTGCCCCCCAGCCATGCCCACACACATCACCCTCACTCTATCCCTTCCTCCTACACCATTTTTCCCACATGTTGCCTGTGTATCCTCTACTAAGATACTGGAGGGGAAGATCTGGGACTACTTTGCTCACTTAGTACTCAGTGCAATATAATAATTATTTGCTGAACATTTCTAAAGCTTTTACGGCAATTTTTAACAAGTAGGTAGATAACTGATAGATACTGCCAAAAAATATACACTTCAGGAAAGACAAATCATATGATATTTTTTTAACAGATAGTGTTACCTTCATGTGGGGAACCCCTACAGAATATCACATGTTCAGAAAACTGGTTACATTGCTGGCCATTACAGAAGAAACTGAAAATGCTTCTGTAGCAACCTCAATGACCAAAGTTACCCAAGCAGCAATTCATCATAGTAATGAATGTCTGGCAGCTAATGGCCACTGCTTTGTGCACCTCTTATAATTGTAAAGGCCAAAAGTAACTGGTATTAATCACGTGGCATCTCAATATTAAAATATTTATACCATTTTGTTTTTTTTTCTTTTGGCGGAAAAGGATATATTTTTTTTTTTTTTGGCAGAACTGAGGATTGAACTCAGGCCCTTGCACTTGCCAGGGAAGCACTTGTTCTACTGAGTCATCTCCCCAGACCCTTATACAATTTTTTATATTCCTGAAGTATATACACATTTTGGTGGTGAAAAATGTTAATATTGAAATCAGCACTTGTTGAAAATTAGAAACACTTGTAAACAATACAGAAAGTTCATACAAAACTCTTAAAAAAACAAAATAAAACAAGTAAAAAAAAGAAAAGTAAAAGAACAGCATTACTTACCCTCCAAACTTTGTATAAAGGGAGACTGTGTATAAGCCTGGTTGACTAGAGTCCCTTACCATAAAACCACCTTCTTTATCCTAAAATCCAAAGTGAAAAATTCCTTTTTTAAAAAACCCAGTGCCATACAAAAGATTCAAGAACCGAATTTTATGACTATTACCTTTGCCTAGAAAAACCTGCTTTGTGGAAGTGAAACTTCCCAGTAAGGCCTCCTGGTTTCTACTCTGCACTCATGCAATATGACTATAGAAAGCACACTCACACTCTTCCAATCCCAAGTTCACACCTACCAAGTGAGATACCACAACTCAGAGTCCTCTGAGGACCCTTCTAGAATTAGCAGATAAGACTGTGAAATTCCAATAGGTGCTGCGCACATGGGAAAATGGTTATTGAAAATGTAAATCTTAACAATTGAGTTTCATTTCAAACATTGTTCATATTTGCTATAAGCTTCAAATCCTGACTCAATATCATTTTGCATCTATACAGCATTTTTCCTGTAAATATCAAGTGCTCTTTATAAGAGTGTATTTAAATATCTTTAATTCCCCTGGAGTTTGATGTCAAATGTTACTCTGCGCAGAAGGAGAGATGGAGGCACAAAGTACTTAAACAGAGGAAATCAAGTCAGAACTGCTTGAATATTGGCGAATGAAGACAATGCTAAATGGGTAACAGATAAATCCTTAACAGGTTCCAAGCAACAGAAAAAAAACTGAGCCTCAAATACTTGCCTACCAACAATCTTGTCAAGTCAATCTCTAGCATTTACACTGTTTTAGGATTAAAAGTGTGTTTCACAATTGAAAAGTAAAGTAAATTTTGTTCTTATTCTTAAGTAGATCTGAGATAAAATCCTATAAATCACCTGATCAGAACAATTACAATAATTATGGTAATTGATCAGTAAAAATATAATAACTTCCATTTGTGTCCTGAAAGCCCACTGTTCTAATTTTCTCATATGTGAACGTATATAATCCTGATAACACTCTTGCAATGTAGAAATGCCTCTTAATCCATGCCTTACTTCATGAGGAAAAAATACACACACACACACACACACACACACACACACACACACACACTTGACAGAGAAAAGAATGAGAGAAGAAAGAGAGTCTAGCACTTGGGAGGCTGAGGCAGGAGGATCACTGAATTTGAGGCTACATAAGTGAACTACATAAGTGAGCTCAACACCATCCTGAACATTATAGTGAGACCCTGTCCCAAAGGAACAAAAACAGGGTCAAGGATATAGCTCAGTAGCATAAAACATTGTGTTTTCCACCTGCCTGGAGCACAAGGTCCTGAGTTCAATCCTTGACACTGAAGAAAAAAAAAAAAAAGAGAACAAAAACAAACAAAAAACCAAACAGTGTAGAAAGGCTGGATAGCTTGCTGCAGGTCACAGAGGGAGTAGCAAAGGAGGCTCGGGACCCCAGCCACCTAGCTGCCCCCTCCTCTGCAGGGGCCTCTCACTGTGAGATCTGCTGGATGGCACACAGGGGTCCTGCAGGGGTGAACACTGTTAGGGGTTGGCTGAACAAGTAAAGTCACCGTAGTTACTTTTGCAGCATAAACTACGGGAACAATTGAAAAACCTGGACTGATGCTGATAAACAGGAGAGAACAATTACTAAACAGACCAGCTAGCTCATAAATGCAGGGAGCCGCAGTCATCTTCTAATGTAGTACTTCTGTCTCACACAGATACGAAATTAGAATAGGAAAGTCATAACCAGACTCGGTTCTTCCTCAACTAAGTGCAATTTCCTCTGCATATACTTGATCTTCTCCCTTTATTTTTCTATCGTGTGAGAACTTCAGCACATTTTTCCTAAGGGCGATTAATATATTATTAAAATTCATCGATAAATAAGATCACATGATACAATGTAAATTGTTCTACAACAACTTTGAGCAAAAAAAGAAAAACAACTTAAGTACAAAAATCAAGATGCTAAGTAATAAATCAATAAGAAAGAAAAAAAAGAAAATGTTGTGTATATGTGTCTACTCTTAAGGCTTAAATTGTGTCACTTTCCTCATAACCCTCCCAAAAAAGTCTACAGTCCCAAGCCCCAGTATTTTTTAATATGATCTTACATGGACATTAGAGATAGATGTTTTATGAGTGTTTTTGGTGTGTGTGTGTGTGTGTGTGTGTGTGTGTGTGTGTATCCAGGGTCTGGGTAATTTGCCAAGTATGGGCTAAGACTTGCATCCTCCTGACTCAGCCTACAGAGTAGCTGGAATACTGTCACCTGTCACCAAACCCAACTGAAGACAGGCTGTCAAGTTAAAAGGAAGTCACTAGTGTGGACCCTAATTCGATATGACTGGCACCCTAATGAAATGAAGTATGTATACACAGAAAGACCTGTACAGAGTGAAGAGGATGTAAATAAATGGAGAGCCAACAGCCTTGTGTAAGCTAAGGGGAGAGGCCCACAAGAGTCTCCCCTCGTAGCTCCCAGAAGGACCCAGGTCTCCCTCCTTTGCCTTGGCTTTGGGCTTCTAGCCTATGTAACTGTGAGGCCAGAAAGTTCTGATGTCAGAACCACTTAGTTTGTGGCACTTTGTTACTAAGCCCAGTAAACTAAAACACCAATGTTTTCTTTTAAATAACATTAGGGAAAACCTCTTTATAGCATCATGTTTTTATGTGAGACCACTTATAAGATACTCATTAAAATTAACTTGTGTTGAACCTTTCACCAAGAAAGCATAACACTCACCTCAGTTCTGAGGAGCTGTTCTGCCTTGCTTCTATTTGTGTTTCTGCAATACCATCTAAAGGGGAAAAATACATAGATATTTAAGCCCTCAGAATTTTACAAGGCGTTTTTCACAGGTTATCTTTACAGGAAGGACTAATAAATTCATCAATAACAAATACAATAAATAAGAACGATGCAAGACATTACTCATCACCTCAATAGACAACACTAATGTTTTGATGTAAGTATTCCAGGCCTTTTCCTACCCATAATTTTATTAAAATAATACATGTATGTCAACATTCTTATTATTTCATTAAAATGAGATCAAACTCTACTTGAGGCATCATAGCTTGAATTTTTCACATGATTTTTTTTGCAAATTATTATAGTTTTATGTATATCAGTTAGGATGTGTCATGATTTATGTAAATTGTTCATTACTTAACATAAAAATTGTTTTTAATGCACCATTATTGTAATTGCAGCAAGAATGGATGTTATTACACCAATTCAAGCATGCAGGAAGCATCACTTTACAGTGGCTTGAATTCAAATGAAATGCAGATTTCATTTCAAGTCCCTATGTTGGCTCTCCACTCAGTGTACAGGAGAAACGGAGTGAACTTTAAGTGCAGGCTGCCCGGCTCTTCCAGACATGCTGCCTCCCTGCACCCCTAATCTCTTGTGGTCACCCAAGCAGCTCCTTCTCTCCCTCCAGTCCCTCCCCCTGCCCCAAGCCACACCCTACAGGTCCATGCCCTTTATTTCCCATGGGGAAGCCCTTCTCCTGATGGTGCCATCTCCCACCTCATCCTCAGAGGGACTCTCCCTCAGTCTAATCCCTTCATGTGACTTCATTTTGTAGGATTTCTTTATTTATTTATTTATTTTTTTGATACCAGGGATCGAACTCAGGGCCTTGCAATCGCCAAGCAGGTGCTTATGCTGCTGAGCTATTTCCCCAGCCTCTGTTAGATGCTTTTTAACACACTCAGGGACTTCAAATGTGAGCAAGCCAGTTGGAAGCCACTGGAGCATTGGTGTTCCCACCACCATTTCATTCTTTCATAAGACCCAGCACCTGCCTGTGGCCCAACAAACACCTTGGAGGAGTGAACATGAAGGATTCCCTAATGGAGGAAAGCAAAAAAAATACAAAAAACAAAATACAAGAAACTACAAGATCTCTTTCTGTTTGGATTCTTCATAGCAGCAGAATACACTTTATAAGTTAGGAATAACAAGATTTTCTTTTTTTTTTTTTTTTCTGTACCGACGATTGAACTCAGGACCTTGAACTTGCCAGGCAAGCACTTATTCTACTGAGCTATCTCCCCAGCCCCAATATATTTTATTTGGAATCTGATGTCATGAACCAGGCTCAGAATTTTCAACATTTTATTACTATGTATTCTGCTTCATGAAATGAGACTGAGTTCAATGAAACTGATCAATCCATTTCTGAATGCAATTGAGAAATACAATACAGTAGGAGAATGAAATGAATTCTAGCCTTGAGCCTTCCCCACTGATACATGAAACATTTTTAGGTGCCAAAAAGTCATAAAAATAGTTAAATAAAGATAAGTAGAATGTTATACATTTTAAACTAGTAGGATGTGAGATATGAGACATTTCTATTTGCTGGCAACAGAAGATCCAGCCCCACATCTTCACAGACAGCGTAAGCAGTGGAGCTCAAGAGCAGGAAATGAGAAAAGCTAATCTTCTCATGGAGAAATTAGCCCTAAAAGACTGAAAGAAGGATGTCCCTTCCTAATCTACTACATTCCATCTACTGGGAAGGGTTAAAAAATAAGGGGAGGGGCTGGTGAGATGGCTCAGTGGTCTAAAGCACCTACTTGGAACAAGCTAAGCTAAGCAAAGCACAGGGACTGCGGTTCAATCCCACAGCACCACATGCCAGCCAGCCCCGCCCCCTGGTGGCCACACACACACAAAATAAAAAATAAATAAATTAATTAATTAATAAAAAAAATAAGGGGAACTAGAGAACTCACTGCACAGAGAGCATACTCACTGGAATCCTGTTCCAACAGAGCATTCTTGTGGTGTTTTTCAATTCCATGAAATGGATGCTTCCATCCTTGGGATATTATAGTTGGGATCTGGGATATCTTCAGAAGGCCTAAGTGTTAAAGGTGTGGTCCCCAGGGTGGCACTATTAGAAGGCTGTAAAACCTTTTATGGTAGGTGTGGCCTTGTGTCATAGAGCTATGCACTCAGAGGGGACTGTGGGACTCTGCCCACTGCCTCCTCCTGTCTGCTTTCTGGCCATGATGTAAGCAGTTCTCCCCCATACACAATTCCAACCATCATGTGCTTCTTGCCACAGGCATAAAATGAGCCAAATAGATTACAGACTGGAACCTCAGAACACAAATCAAAGTAAGTGTTTTTGAAAGTTAATTGTGGGCTGGGGAGATAGCTCAGTGGTTTAAGTGCCTGTCTGGCAAGCACAGGACCTGGGACTGGTCTCCAGCACTGCATGCTGCACTGGCCCTGGAGCCTTGGGTATGCTATGCTGGCCATTTAAACTGAGCATGGTGGTGCATGCCTGTAACTCCAACGCTGGGAGGCTGAGACAGGAGGATTACTATGAGTCTGAGCTATATAATGGGACCCTGTACCAAATAAAGATGAGATTTTCAACAAAAAAATTATTTTAAAAGTTAATTGTCTTAGGTATTTTTTGTGAAGCTCAGACTTTATAGGTATGTTGAAGGAAAGAGAGAATAAAGAGGTAGGCACAAATCAGCTGATGGGTACTTCCCAATGGCTTTTCATGGCTTAGCCCATGATACCTATCCCCACTGTCACAGTTTGGATCTGTAATATTCCCCAGTGACTTATATGTGGAAGGCCTGGTTCTTAGTTTGTTCTGCTATTGGGAAGTGGTAAAAACTGTAAAAGGTGAGGCCTAGTTGGAAGAAGGAGGTCACTGGGTCCATGTCCCTGAAAGTTACACTGGGGCCTGAGGCGCTTCCCCTCTCTGCTTCCTGGTTACAAGCTGAGCAGCTTTGATTCATGGTGCCCACCTTGCCATAGTGTTCTGCCTCATCACAGGCCAGCAACAATGGAACCAGCCAACCATAGACAAAAGCCTCTGATACTGTAAGGCAAAATAAATCTTTCCTCCTATAAATTGATTTCCTCAGGTATTTTAGCACAGCAACAGACAACAGACTGACACACCTAAGCAAAGAGAAAAAGATTCATCCTATCACAAAGTGGCATGCATGCAGGTAGCCTGTGAAGGAGCCAGAGAGGGCAGCCACACACCTCTGTCTCAAACCTGACACAGAGACAAAGCTCATCAGACGTCAACCTCTTCACTGTCAGAGCTCTACCTTTGGAAATTATGTCCAGGATTGGTAGGTAACTTGTCAATATATTCTCAGACATCACAGCCCTAACATCCAGTTGTTTGAACTAGCTGGTCAACTGGACATCTCAGAGAAACAGGACTTCATAGAATATCTAGACAAAGGGGAAGAAGAGGCTGGTCACAATCCTTCCTAGAAAGGCCAGAGCCTGACCAGGCTTGCTGGGGAGGGTAAATTTTCTTCATGAAAGAAAACAAGGCAATATGAAGGAAAAATATAAAATGACCAACCAAACAGCCATTACCCTTTGCCTGTTCTTCACTCGTGGAGCTGTCTCCTAAGCTGTCCATTCAAAGCCTTCATCCTTCTGCACTTTCTTCCTGTACCTTTCCATGGAGAACACCCCTCTTGGTCTGTCAGCAGTTGTTCTGATCTCCTCACCAACTGTTCTCTGGGTGCGGAGGTCAGAACTAGTTTACTAAGAGCCCTAGCAGCCCTGGGCCTGGCAGTCCTAGATCCAGGCCAGGGACAGACTGTGGCCTGGGATTCCCCATCAGTCGACCCATACGAACAGCACAATGACTGACTCAGTAGCTGATGGAAGGCTTATTTTCTAGCATGGGGACATGGAAGAGGCATTACAGATTGGGCTATGGCTAAAATAATGCAAAACATACCATGTAGCAGGAAAGCAGCACAGAAGAAGAACACTGCTTGCTCACAAAGAATACACCTTTCCCCTGTCATCTGCCTGGGTGTGGCACAATATCACACGGAGTCCTGGCCCCAGCACACACGCAGAGGGGACTCCCATGCCAGAGGCCACACAAAGCAGAAGCAGAGTCATGCAGAGGAGGAAACCCTTCATAAGTGATTACATTTCCAAATGACAATATAACCAAAATGCTCATGGCCATGAATCATAAACCCTGGCACTAAAAATCCTTCCTTGAAATCCCAAGAGTCCTAAGTGGAGTTCCCCTTATTAGAAAGGGATTATCTGCTTCTCAAGCATCCACCTCCCCAGTTCCCAGTGAGTTCTCTATCCTAGCCTTGCAATCAGGTTCAAGTTTTCACCTTTCAGGACCTTCCGTGTCTCTAAGGGCTTTGGTTTCTTACCCTATTCTATCCAGATAGTCGTGCCTCCACGACAAGGACGCCTGCAAACGCGCCGTGAGGCAGTGCCAACATCGTAGCTATATTCACACACAGCTTGACAACGGCACACCCAGGCTGTGGTACCTGGAACCCATCACCTCTGAGCTACAAGCCTGCACAACTCTGTAACACAACTGCAATTATTTGTGTATCTAAAATACATTTAAACCTAGAAAGGTACAGGAAATACTAGGTAACAGGAATTTTTCAGCTTGCTCACAATCTCGTAGGGCCACTATCAAACAGAGTCACTTTGGGTCAAAATGTCTTAAGTGGCACATGATTGTATATTGTTTATACTTCTACCTATTTCTAAAAATCACTTTTAAGAACTTAAAAAGATGTATCACTTCCTATTTAGTCCTTTTCTAGATATTAATTTGTGATAGAATGAAATGGAATGCAGCTATGAAAATAATGTCAAAAGAAAATTAATAGTAAGAGGATGTATTTACTCATAATATATCATTGCAGCAGAAAAATGATATAAAATGGTAAAAGCAACATGATTTTCTTTTTAAAAATAATAAAAATATTGAAAGGAAATATATTAATATAGACAAAATTAACTGATTTATGAGTAATTTTTTCTTAGATTTTTTCCAGTTTCAAGATTTTTTAAACAATAATCCTATGTTATTGTTTTAGTCAGAAAAAGACAAAAATATGATATTTTAAAGCTGCTCTTGGAAATGTTATTCCTATATTTCTAATGAATGAACAATGATCTGTATTTCAAATTCAGTTACACTGTGATTTATTTAAAATCAATTCAATTGTGAATGCTTATAGAACTCCACCCAAATACCTTCAGGAAAAATGCATTATGGGTACTAATTTTCAGTTTTTTTACCATGCCAGACAACTGAATTAAGGATATGTTGGAACCACTTTCTAAAGATAGTAAAAAATATCCATTAGTCTTCAAAATGCCTTATGTAACTGGAAAATGAAAAAAATATCATTTTCCACGCTCAAAAAATAAACATTTACTTACTCATATTGATCTAAATTGTTTGATTTCTTTCCTGTTACATAATTACTTGGGATATATCCTTCAGTCCTAGAAATGAGAAAGATATCTGTTAGGAAAACAGAAATGGCTGAGAGATTATTTAAGAAAACGAAGACTACTAATTTTCTGGAATAATTTAAAACATATTGCCTATAGCATGGAAGGAAAACTGGCTGCCCCCCAGTAATTCCATATACTTATATCACTTGACCCTTTCCAAAGTACGACCACACTTGATCTCACACAGGCAAACACCAGTGTACCCATTTTCTGGTGGGGAAACATAAAGGGACTTTTCCAAGGCGCCAAAGCTTGCCAGCAATAGGGTCAGAACTTTAACTCTGAGTCATGACCAGGCCTAGTGTTTTCCCAATATTCCACAATGCTTCTCTAGAATTCAGTTTCTTAGGGTGTTTTAAAGAAACTACTGCTTTACTAGAGTGAAAGCACTGGATAAAAGCACCCACCAATGATCCCATAGGACAGTTTCATAAAAGGTAGACCCTGACCTCTACTAATTTGTAGGGTGTTAAAAAGACAAATTCCTTAGAAAGGGCAAGCTTTTGTGTTTAATACCCTGTACTGCAAAAAAGAAAAAAAGGCCAATTCTTGAATCATACTCTAAGAGATTCATATTGAGAAGACCTAATGGGATCAAGGAATATGCAATTTTATCCCAGACTACTCGTAATGCACACCACAGTTTAAGAAGCATTCAGTTGGTAGGAGTCACGATATTCAGTACAGAAGACAGATACATTGATAAAATTAAAAATCAAGTAAAACTTAGGGCCAGCCAAATAGCTCAGTGGATTAAAGTGCCTGCAAGCAGGCACAGGGACTGGGGGTTCGATTCCCCAGGCCTGCCGTGCCGGCCCTGCCCCTGGGGGATGCTGAGATGATGATTGAGACTGGATATGGTAGCGTGCCTATAATCCCAGTACTTGGGAGGCTGTAAAGAGGAGAATCACTATGAGTCTAATCTAATAGTGAGACCGTGAACACCCTTTAGACCTTTCCTTAAAATATATATTAAAAAAAGTAAAACTTAATGATTTCAAATTTGAATTTGAACTACTTACAAAAACTCATCACATATAAGTACACATATATGCAGGCACACACATATGTAGGCACACACATATGTACCTGTATGCAGCCCTTCTGTATTGAGAAAAGCCTAAAAGCAATGACAATCCAGCAGCAATTAGAAACCAAGCATTGTGGGTTGGCCACAAAGCTCAGCATACTAAAGCGCCTGCTTAGGCAGAGCGCAACAGTCGGGGTTCGATTCCCAGCCTGCTGTGCTGGCCCAGCTCCCAGGGCACACTGAGATAGCAATTGAGTCTCGGCGTGGTGGTGCATGCCTGTAATCCCAGTGCTTGGGAGGCTGAAAACAGGAGAATCACTATGATTCCGATGTATGTAGTGAGACCCCATAGTCCCTATAGACCCTGTACCAAATGCATTAAAAAAAGGGAGAGAGAAAGAAAAGAAACCAAGCTCTGTGATTGTCTCTAAATAATCTGACTAAACTTGTACTGTAATGTCATGTAACTCAGTAGTGTCCCAAATTTTCTGATCAAGGAGATTATAGGGCCAAAGAAGAAAGTGATCGATGATATAGAGTGTGCCTAAGGAAAGTCATATGAAGAGAAAACATTCTCTCAGGCTTTCACAGAGAGCACACTGGCCAAGCAATGGCCATGACTCATCCATATGGCTGACACTGACAAAAGATCTACAATCTGAGGTACAGGATCTCAGGATAAATCCTGAGGGGATTTGACTGACCTTATCAGACCCAAAAGCTACAACTCTTGTTGCATAGGTCTTGCTTTATCTTGATCTTAACCATCCAGCAGAAAAGTATAAAAATGAAGTATAAGAAGTAAAGCCATGCTGTTATGTTGAGCTGTAGGGGACTCAGGTCAACAATTTCTGACATTGCAAGTCAAGCGGAAGACCCAATACTATTATGGATTACTGAACTCTTTTAGAATATTTTGCTGAGTTTACACACCTATAATATTTAAATGATGGAACTTAACAAAAAAAAGGGTATACAGATGAATGTCCATTTTCTATCTGTGTATTCAAAGTGGTTAGGATAGACATATAGTTACATTCTCTTAATGAATAGAATGATTTGTTCTAATGGTGTCTGTAAATAGGATCTCAAGTCCGCATCTTGTACAGCAATTAACTACTAGGAAGAATGTATGCAATGTGTTAATTATTGAAACTGTCCTACCAATTTGGTTTGAAACTGTCTCATTGCTATTTGTTTCTCAATAAAATTATGGAAAAAATAACATTTAAAATAAATAATCTGACTAAAAAGAACCAGCATGCCTTGGGTAAATGTCAAATTGTGAGTTTGACTAGGAAACACACCAGGTGAGTTAGAGCTATTTTACTAAGCCAGAAAGCAAAAAAGTTAAGAAAGACTAGTGAGATTCTCAAAGGAAGCAGCTTTCACTGAACCAAGAAGGACCATTCAAGCATACAGCATGAGGATTGCAAGGGACTGACCTCAGCCCATGAGGCTAACAACAGTGGTCTAGTCATAAACTCATGCTTCTGGAAACTGATAAAACTGAAGGATTAAAAATTCTATCTTTTTTCTACTACAAGAACTTAATGAACTCAGCTCTTCAGCTCTTCAGAGAATAAATGTACTAGAATTAGCAACATTAGAAAACCACCATATTGTAATCCCTAAGGAAACAATCACTACTGGGTGTCAAAGTCCCTGAGGAAAACACAGATGGAGATGACGGAGGACAAAGGCTGACACCTGGACCATGCAGCGTCTTAGTATCACTAATAGTGGGACAGGCAGAGATTGCCTTCGAAAGTGATCAAGCCCCTAGCTCCTATCACCAGTTTTCATAAGACACAACATTGTTATGTTAAGTGGTACCAAAGGAAGCAATCAGCCTAATTCAGAGTATGGTTCATCTTGTGGGGTAAGTGATCAGATTTCATTAATAAACCAAAAATGAGAAAAAGATGGCAACAATTATAGAATAAAAAAAATATAAGCAACATATCAGCCAAAATGCTATGTATGGATTGTTTTTGAACAAAGCAACAGTGAAATGTATATTAGAGCTAATCAGGGGAAATGAATTCAATTGTTAGTACCATCTTTAGGCCGGGCCACAAGCACCCCTGCTCTGACTCTTTGAAGAGCTCTGCTAAAGTCCATATTACCTCAGTGCTCTTCCAGAGTATCGACTGGGTAATTAGGATTCTAGAATTCCTTGCCCATTTCTAAGGTCTACATGTCCCTCTCCTCTGAGTCTGCTGTGCTGGCCAGTCACGTACAGTGCCTCCCACTGAGGCCCAGGGGCAGCCATGTTGCAGGGAGCTATGGCAAGCCATGTGGACACAGCTGGAGTGGATGGGCTGGAAAAGGTCACAGTGCACAGGAGAGATGTAGCCATGGCAGAAGGGGCTGGGAGAGCAGCAGTGGGCTCCAGCTTTCTGACATGGAAATCTAAACTCAAGCCTTGCTTTTCTTGTTATTTGAAGCTACATTTGTCAAGCTGGAGGATAAGCAACACTTTACCAGTTTGTCAGCCTGACTTATGATCTAAATATATAAATATATGATTTATAGGCTATCATCTGCCCTTCCTCTAGGCTCAATAATGATAAGGAAAATTGTATAGATGGTATTCATGTAAAATATTGCTAAGTATGATCATGACATGGCAGGTCTTATTTTTTAAGTTTTAAGAAGTTAAAATTAAAAGTGAAATGACATGATGACTTGAATTTATTTTTAAATACTCTAGGAGAAAACTCAGGGTAGACTGAGAAATCAAAAATAACAAAATGTTGGAAATTTTTAAAGTCAAGTAACAAGAAGTTTAAGGACCCAGGTTTGATCCCCAGTACCACATGCCATGCTGGCCACTGAAACCGGGTGTGGTAGTATACCCCTATAATCTCAGCACTGGGGAGGCTGAGACAAGAAGATCACTATGAGTCCGAATTTTATAGTGAGACACTGTACCAAATAAATAAAAGATTAAAAAAATACTTTAGGGGTCAGCAAGATATATCAGCAGACTGAAGTGCCTACTTAGGCAAGTGCAAAAAAAAAAAAAAAAGTAACAAGAAGTTCTATTATATTATTGTTACACCTTGAGGCTACATGATCTCCCAAGGCCTCATCAACTCATAGGTGGGGCTTTTGGAGGTGGCTGGATCTGTGGTATGTGAATGTAGATTAATGCTATGATACTGGAACTAAGGGCATGCGGATCAGTCCACTGACTGGATTAGCAGAGTTCTTGGTGTGGATAATGGAAGTCCCACCCTGGGTGTGGGTGGCACCAATCAATAGGCTCACAGCCTGCAGGGAAAAGGAGACAGGAGAAGCAGGCTTGCTGCTTGGTGCCCAGTGGTGGCTGCTGCCTTCTACCTGCCACGTGGTGATCGGTTTCTCCTCTGTATTGCCACTCTGCTCTGTGCCACCCTGCCTTGGAACCAGCTGACTGTGGACTGAAAACTCTAAAAACTGAGAGATAAATAAACCTGCCCTCCTATAACTTGTGGGAGTCAGGTATTTTATCCCACAATGAAAAAAATAAGTGTTATGGTTTGTGTCTACATGTGCCCCTAAAGCCTGATGCAGTCATGGGGTGGTTTCTAGAATTTCAGATTGATTCATCATTGAACGCTGAGGTTGTGGGTGTGAGTGCTACCCCCACCTTGGGGCAGGTAGTCTGTATACAGTATGACTGGAGGACAGAAGCTTACTTACTGCTGTTCTTCCCTTTTTGCTCTTGCTGCTTTTGCTGTTTTCCACCATGATGAACTGCTGCCCTCTGCCATGTGCCACTCTGCCCTGGTGCCAACTATTATGGATGGAAACCTCAACAAACTATCAGCTAAATAAACTTTTACTTCCTTAATTGTGGATGTCAGGTATTTTGACTCAGCAATGAGGAGAAAAGTAACCAAGATACTGTTATTTAACTTTGTTGGTATTCAAAAATTTCTCATACTGAAGCCAAAAAGATACCCATGTCTTGTGTTTACTGAATCTACCCATATATTTATCCGTAAGGTTGAAAGACTTGTCCTTCCCTAATCCTAAATTATCTGGTATAAATATTGCTCTTTGTTTATCTTCATATATGTATATGTGTATGTATTTTATACACACATACATAAGTGAAAGAGAAATTTGAAATGACTGTTATACTGTCTGTATAAATATACATACACCTACATAGAAAGACAAGAATCTAAGATGAAAATATGATAAGCTATTTCTTAGACAAATCTAGCATTTCAGGATATAGCTTAGTGGCAGAGTTCTGAACTAGCATGTACAAGGTCCTGGAATCAATCACCAGCAAAAAAAGAAAAAGAAAAAGAAAAAGAAGGAAAGAAAGGAATCAATTAAGGGAGAGAGAGGAGGAAGAGGGGGAAAAGAGGAAGGGAAAGAAACCCCTAACTCACTAACTGTAGAAGTAACAAAACATAAATAGTAAGTTTCTTCAAGGTTAAAATAATCAAATTAGGGCCAGCCAAATAGCTCAGCAGATTAAAGCGCCTGCAAGCAGGCACAGGGGCTGGAGATTCAATCCCGGCACCTGCCATGCTGCCCGCACTCCCAGGGCATGCTGAGATGGCAATTGAGACTGGGTGTGGTAGTGTGCACCTATAATCCCAGCTCATGGAAGGCTGTAAACAGGTGAATCACTATGAGTCCGATCTAGTAGTGAGACCCTGAACACCCTGTAGACCCTTCCCTAAAATACAAAAAAAAAAAAAAAAGAGAGAGAGAATGAATGAGAAACAGACCAATGTAACTTACAGAAAGTATTCTTACAGAAAGAAGTGACTGATAATTTTTATTCACTGAATGACAACTCAGAATACACTCTGAATCTTCTCGGTAGGGGCTTTAACTTCGGCCCACAGAACACATCTCATGTTGTTTTACTTGGCACTTAACTCCCATCCACCATTGCTTGGCACACATGGTCAGGGAATACTTACCCATACTTATCCCTTGCCCTCCACCAATGGATGTCATTCTTTTCCAATATGATATACTCCTGACCTCTCTCTAATCTGAGATCATGTGCTTCTGTTGCTTGGAAATCATACATTGCTATGACTATTTCTTCACTGTTATCCTCTTCTTCAGGAGGAATTGGTGGGGGAGGCCTTCGCTAAGCAAAGAAGACATTGGAAAGTTTAGATTTATATTCAAAAATTATCAATGAAACAAAACACGAAATGCTTCACACAGAATAAGGCAGAAACTTCAAGTCTAAGTCACCTAGAGCCTAACATAATTTGATCAAATCAACATCTAATAATGTTGATGCTGCTAAACTTCTCGTGACTTTCAGAACATAAAAGATGGAGCTGGAGGTGCATACTTGCAATGTTAGCACTCCGGAGGTTGAAGTAGGAGGACTGCCGAAAGTTCAAGCCCTGCTTAGGCTACATAGTGAGTTCAAGGTCAGACGTCAGTGAGACCTTGTCTCACAGAAAGAGGAGGAAAAAAGGAGAAGAAGGAGAAGGAGGAGGAGGAGGTAGGCAAAATTAGCTTTAAATTTTTGCTCAGTGTAAGGGACAGCTTCCCTGGGAGAGGCAAGGGTGACAGATGTGCAGACACCAGGAGGACTAAAGGTGGATGAGCTACTGAAGTGGCCTGTAATACAGAAACAGTGCACCACAGAATTTTAATGGATCTCCTTCCAGTCAAAGGAAGTTCTACTTCTTTATATCTACAAGGTACAGGCACATGCTTAGGATCTACCTTTTCTCTCCCTTTTTCTTTTTTAAATTTAATTAAATTTTTTTGACATAGAATCTCACTATTTAGCCCAGGCTGTCTCTGAACTTAGTGATCCTCCTGCCTCAGCCTCCCAAAAGCCAGGATTACAAGCATGCAGCACAATGCCTGGCTTCATTTAATCTTAAAATTGTTCCCATTCCCATGTTATAACTGAGGTAATAATGGTATAAGTAACCTATCAAAAGTTGCTCATATCAAATTCACATCAACTCAGTCACTGAGTCCAAAGTATGTCTTTTTCTACCAATACCCAAATGCCTAAAGGAGTATCATTAAATGTTTCTAAAATACTCTTCTGTCATACTGTGGTCTTACAACTGAAATATACCTTTTAAAGTCTCCCACTTCTTATACAATTCTGTATGTAAGTCAAGCTATCAGTAAAATGCCAGAGGGTAACAGATCGCACAATAAAATAGGAGAGCAGCTTAGTGGTAGAGTTTGCCTAAAATGGATGAAGGCCTGGGTTTGAGACCTGGCACTGCAAAACTAAAAAGCAGGACATAGTAAAATCTCACAATAATAAAATTCAATACAATTGATACTACTCAATACCAAAAACAACTCAAAAAATCCAGAGCACAGTCACCGCCAAGCTGGTCTCATGGAAAAGCAGCGGCCCACAAATGAATGCAAGCTCACGAAGTGGCTAAGAATGTTCCGTGTGAAACTGTACCATGCTAGTGGTAGCTGAACTAGTTTTGTAGATTAAAAAAAAAGTGGGGTGAAGGGTACATGGAGTATCTACATTACTCCCTTCAAATGCATGTGAATCTGCAGTAATCTCAAAACATGAAGTTTGATTTTAAAAAGTGAAGAGAAACTTCAATAACAAGCTACTGTTTAGAAAATCAGGGCCAAGGAATTAGCTTATGTTCAAGGAGAAAGGAACACATGAGGAACTTAAGTTCTGGAGTCAGACTGCAGATAGATAGATAGATAGATAGATAGATAGATAGATAGATAGATAGACCAATCAAGGCTTACAGACTCAACTTCTGAAAGAGAAAGCCCACATACCTTCTTTGTTTCTGGTGCTGGGGGTAGTGCCTTTTTTATACCTGAAAATGCCAGCAACAAAAGCAGGTTAACATGTTGCCTGCCCATGGTCAGATGAACACACAAGGAAACCACTCTGCCAGGCACAATGTCCCTGTCAGCGTGTCCTGCCGCCGCCTAAAGTGGGCTCTCAGCAATGCCTGCCACTCAACACTGAGCTGAGTTACAGCAGTGTCCTCTACTTGCCTGTGATTTTACTTCTGATGCTTTCCACGACTCAATCACAATATAAAAATATTAATCAGAAACTTCTAGAAATAAACAATAGTTTTACATTGCACTATTCTGAGGGTGTAAGTCTCACACTGGAGGGACTGGTCCTTCTGGGATGTCAATCATCCCTTGGTCCACAGTGCACACCGCACCCACTCCACTAGCCACTCAGCTGATTGCCTGGTAATAGTATGCCTGTGTCCAACTAAGTCTTATTTTACTTAGTAATAGCCTCAGTGTGCAAGAGAGTGATGCCAGAAACTCAGGCATCCCAAAGTGAAGCCGGAATGCATCACTTAAGTGAAGAGGTAAAAGGAAGTTCTCGACTTAGTAAGAAAAACATTGAATATAGTCCAGCAGTCCATAATAGTAGTGGGTTATCTGCAGGACTGGCAATGTCAGAAGTTGCTGACTTGAGCCTTTTACAGTTCAGCATATTAATATGGCTTTATTTTTATGCCTCATTTCTATACTTTTCTGCTGGATGGTTAAGACTTACTTTGCTGAATTCATGCACCTACAATATATGAATGGCAATCTCTGACAAAAGTGAACAAAAATGGGGGATATAAATGAAGGACCATTTTGTAGTGAAAATCTCTCTCTCTCTCTGTATATATATACATATATATATATATATATATGTATATGTATGTATATACAAAATAGCATAGATATACAGCTACTTTCTCCTAGATCAATCACAAGAAAGTTTTGAACTAATAGTATTTAGACAAGATATCATGTCTGCATCTTGTACAATGAATAACTACTATGAAGATAGCAATATGCAATGTATAATTATTGTAACCTTCCTAGTAACCTGTTCTGAAACTGTCTCATTGCTACTTTTTTCTCAATAAAATTAATGTAAAAAAAAATTATATGCTCAGTTTTTTTTTTTTTTTTTTTAGTGGAACTGGGGATTGAATGCACGCTCAGTTTCTGAAGATCTGCACTACAGTAAGATATACAAAGTGTGATCAAATATATGGTGAATTTTTAAATTAAAAAGAATTTATTACATTAAAAGATGCATTGCCGGGCTGGAGAGATGGCTCAGTGGTCTAAAGCACCTACTTGGAACAAGCTTGGCAAAGCACAGGGACCACGGTTCGATCCCCCAGCACCGCATGCCAGCCAGCTGCGCCCCCTGGTGGGCTGAGCTGGCCACACACACACACACACACACACACACACACACACACAATAAATGTTAAAAATAAAAATAAAAATAAAAGATGCATTGCCATTCATCCCCTCAGAATACTGCTCTTACTTCAAACACACTTATCCTATTATTCTTGTCACTTTCTGAAGCAGTTCTACAGAACCTTTCATGAGTGTAGTTGTACTATTGTGGCTGCTTCAGTGTTCTGAATTGATTAAAAATATTTATATTTTATGGTCATCTTATCATTTAAAGAAAATCCAGAAATTGCACCATGACAGATGCAGTAAAAAGGTGAGGGAGGACACAGTATAATGCTTCATTTGACAGAAATGGCCATACCTGCTTTGAATTGGTTCAGGACGTTGAGGCAGCCATGGAAAGACACTCACAGGGCTGGAGAGATAGCTCAGTGGTCTAAGCACCTGCTTGGTAATTGCAAGGACCTGGGTTTGATCCTCAGTACTGCATACTATGTCAGCCCTAGAGCCCTGGGCACGCTCTGCCAGCCATCAAAATCAGACATGGTGGTGCACACCTACAATCCCAGCACTGGGGAGGCTGAGACAGAAGGATCACCATGAGTCCAAGCTGCACGGTGAGACCCTGTACTAAATAAATAAATAAATACTTTAAAAGGAAAAAAAAAAAGAAAAGATACTCACAGAAGAAGACTTCCAGAGCTACTTCCAAAAGTATCAAAAATAGTGAGTTAAATGTGTTTGTAGGAAGGGAGAGTATTTTGAGGGAGATTAATGGTAACGTGTCATTCATTGTAAGAAACTTTTCTATATTTGAACATTCACCATATTTTATCAAGTCTTATATATGTAGGCAGAAACTATATTAAAATAACTTTGAGTAAAGTATATTACTATAGCTGTCTCATTTTATTATTAGTTATTATTGGTAATCTTTTACTGTGCCAAATTTATACACTAAACTTTATCACGGGTATAAGTAGAAAAAAAGTAGCACATACAGGATTCAATACAATCTGTAACTTTAAGCTTTCTCAGGGGACGCCAGAAAGCCTCCTCCGTGGATAAGGGAGAACTTCCGTAACAACACGGACAGCTTAACAAGCTCTGGAACTCTGCCCCTTCCTCTATAGCTTACGTACTAGAGTCGTGACTGGTATGTGACAACCAGCTAAGCAGACACAGCATAAGTTCTAATCAAAGGGTTCTGTGTCTAAATGGGATGTGTCATTTTTAAATATGGCCCCTAAAAGTACCTCCTATGGATATCCTAGAGACTGTTTCTCCTTTCTCCTTCTAGGAAGAAAAAGATTGTGGAGCTGGAGCAATCCCAGGAACTACTGCAAAACTTGTCTGCCACCTGCCTTGGGATAATTATGTGAAACTGAAAAACATGTCTAGCTTAAGTCGCTGTAACTTTTGGATCTCTTTGTATAATGGGTTAGAGTGCACATTACCTAACACTAAACTTTATGAATTGAAACAGGAAATAACAGTCTTGGAAACATAGACCTTTCTCTTTATTGTGATAAGTTAATGTCAGAACATTCCAGAAAAATCAGGATGGATGGGCTTACAGGATTAGGGCTGGCTTCCTGCACAAGGGGTACTCCTGCCAAGTAGCCATTCTGCTCCTACACAGAAGCTGACTGGTTCAGATCGGCACAGTGTAGTGCTCAGTGCCAGCAAGAAAAGAGAAGTACAGGAAACCCCACCACTCTAGCTAGCACTTTTGAGTCTCCATGTATTTTTAACTAAGGTCCTCTCATTTCCAGAACTTTGAAAGGTCTGATGCATCAAAATTAACCCTAGACTCATTTGTTCCCCTAGACATTTTTGTTCATCTGGACATTTACACAGAAGTATCATTATGACGCTTTAACGCTCCGACAGATGGTGAATACACAACCAAATCTATACCATTAAGCCCAATTAAAATGAAAACGGTTCCATTCAGACTGCAGATGCACCGCCACATATATTTCCAGCTACAATCTAGAAAGGGTTTACAAATTTGCTGACAAACAAACACCTTATGGGAGAAGCTGCTGAGTGTACCATCTAGGTTTATTCTTTTAATAGATTTGTCTTTAACAGGCTGCCTTGTTGTGATGAAAGTTGCCCCCAAAGAGAACTTTCTATTCCATGAGAGGGTCCCAGGGTTAACTAAACGTGATCATTCTTACAAAGCACACCTACACTTTTCTAGAAAGTATGTTGTACTTAAATTGAAATCCTACCACTTTCTCACCATATGAATATGTTCATTCAGAATGCAATATAATTAGAAAATTAAATAATTACTTACTACTCTCAAAAAGATTGTATTTTTCACATCCAGGAGCTAGTTTTTCAGTTTGTCTGCAACACTGGTAACTTCCATCTGCCCAGAATTTAGGATGATATTTAATCATAATATTATTGTTGTTCTTTATTTCTGTAATTCACAAGCACACTGATGATTAGTGAAGAAAACCAGTCTTCAGCATGTTTGGTAGGTAACAATGTCAATCATTACTCCTTCCTCAGATACCATATTTTTTTCATGACAACACCCTCATAACATTAACTGAGAACATTCAGAAAAGCCAGATTTTTTTTTCGTTTGTTTTGCTGTCACGAGATACCCTGTCACCTGAAGGGACTGCTGCTACGCCACGATGAATAAATGCAAAAATGAGCTCGCAGCCATTTCATTCCCAGGAGAAGCAGTGAGGATTAAGCAGGACAAATCACCCAATTAAACACCTCATGAATACATCCCAAGGCTGACTACATGGGCTATTTCTTAGAAAATACTGTTCTCACAAATCCTATTATCATAAAAGGCATTTTACCACCTCCAAGCACAGTAAATGGTAGCCTGTGTTCCTTACCAACTATATACTACTAGAAAAAACCAGATTTTACAACGGGAGGTTAGATTTAATATGTTGTATCACCCACATTGACTGTCCTTAGAGAAGCATTTATTTAGGTTTAGAGATTAGAAATGTAAGGCATGCATGGGTTATAATTGCATTTTAGTGGCAATGTCATATTTCTAAAATTGTGTGTAGATTAATATTTCATTAGATGAATTTTACCTTCTTTTAATTTCTTCACCCAGAGGTCCCTGCTTTGTGCACTAGGTGCAAAAATGTAAAGTGTGTTAGCATCGTGAACAACCTAAAATAAAACAAAAGATAAAAATTAGTGACAAATATTTCTGCCTGGATCAAAGCCCTTGGTACAAAGGCACCAATAATCGATTTTCCAACCACTGAATAAAAAGTCAGTTACTTCAGATGCAAATAACCTAATTTTTTCTCTTACAATAGTACATCTGCTTCTTTATCTCTTTATCAAACAGGATACACATTTGCAAAACATGGTTTTTAGAGAACAAAAAGTCAAGATATTTCATTAATCTCTGTTTTTATTTCCACCTAATTAACTGAAGTTCCTTCAATAAATTTAGTGCAACAGGGATTATTCTATTCCAATATTTTGGTAAAATATTTTAGACAAGTGGGCTACTCTTTCAAGATCACCTTTATCTTCCCTTTGCCACTGTCAGTAACTGCAGCAGCTAACTTTATTAAGTACTGCCTTCCTAGTTCTGGGTTTTGTGCTTTACAGTAATTAATTCTATTAATCTAGCTACTATCAAGGTATTAGTATTTCTATTGCACACAGGTGGAAATGAAAGCACCCCCCCCCCGTGCTCACTCCTGTGTAACTCCAGGGAGCAACACTCATGTGGCAGGCACGGCAAACAGTGTCCCCTAATGCTGTGTCACCTAATTGCTTATTGTCATGCAGCCAATAATTGAGAAAGTCAGGATGCAGACTCAAAAGCACAAGTATTTAAACATACTGCTACCTTAAGAAAAAAACCCTGCTCAGAAATTAGATTTATGTTTATATTTTTAATATTAATAATAAGATAGAGGCTGGGGAGATGGCTCAGTAGAATAGGCGCTTTCCTGGAAAGCACAAGGGCCTGAGTTCAATTCCCAGTTCCGCAAAAATAAATAAATAAATAAATAAATAAATAAATAAATAAGTAAGATAAGCCAGAGAAATTAACACAAGAATTTTGTCATTGGGTGGACACTTTACCCCTGGTGGTCAGTCACAACACAGAAACACTGCTTAAAAAGTACATGCCTGTAACTCCCCCTTCACCATAGCAATACCCTTGAGTGGAAAAACAAATTCGTTTCATGGGTAAATGGCTTTCCTGACTCTGATCAGTAGGCAATTCCTTCTCATTTGTTTTAATCAAGTGAATGCACTCTAAAAGCCTTGCAGCCATCATAAAACAAATAATGCTGTAGACGATCTAGCACTTTGCTGGCACTATCTAAGCCATAAAAGAAAAAATGAATCCAACATGAAGTCTACTTTTAAGACATGTTTTGGCAAACCTCAGTCCCATCTAGATCTGAGCAATGGCACCAGGGAGGTAAAATGTTAACGAGATGTGGGAGATAATGTCTCTGCCCTTGCTACCTATTGTTTCACATGTCACCTAAGCTTGCCCATGCAACCACATCCATGCAACAAGAGCAAAGTTCAAACACATCACGAAAATCACTCTGAATTCACACTGATGTTCCTGAAAGAAGGGCTAAAGCTTTGGATCTTCCAGCAATCTGCTGTGTATTGCTTGAATAATTTGTTCCACTGTAATCATTTGCTGACTGGCATTTTGGGCTAGGCACTTCACATAGGCTGCCTTTTTATCTGTGTAGCAGCCCAGTTTTTTAATGGTGAACTAAAGCTAGCTTGGTCTACTACCTTGTGAAAGTAGAGCACCTTTATTTCTGTAAGATACCATCCTGCACACAGACTGATGAGATGCTTGGGGCCCTGTGTCCTCCCTTCTGCAAGCCCCAGATCATACTAGGAGGGCTGTCTTTCCTATCATCCATGAGGACAGATCTGCAGCAGGGGAGGGGGGAACAGAGGGAATCAGGTTTCTCACAGGCTTGGGTCCTCCAGTAAGGAGCAGCAGAGGCCATTAGGAAGGAACAGCTGGACAGGGCTCCCTTGCCCAAGGGCAGAAGCCACTTGACCAGGAAGGAAATACTCTTGGTAACACTACTAAGTTAGCAGCTGTCTTCCTTATAATATCTTTATTAACTTGTTCATTTCTTCAACAGACTTTAATAACTATGGGGTAACAGAAATAGCACAGGGGTTCAATGGACAGGGCTGGGTTTAAAACCTGGAAAGGACACACCAGTTCCTGGGAACCCTGAGCTGCCTCCCACAAGAACTTGTCCAGAGAATAGCGAAGGAGGTATCCTACTTTGCAGGTGGTTCCCTGTTTTCTCCTCCTTTATATCATCATTGCAGCTCAAATTCACCTCTCCTTGATTAGTTAATTTTTTTTTAATGTATTTGGTACAGGGTCTCACTATGCAGCTTGGACTGGTAGTGATCCTCCTGTTTTCAGCTTCCCCAGTGCTGGGATTACAGGCGTGCACCGCCATGCCTGGACTCAGTGGCCTTGCTCAACATGCACAGGGGCAAGGCCAGCACAGCACGCAGTCCCAGGGATCAAACCCTGGTCCCTGCACTTGCCTAAGCAGGCGCTTAGTATGCTGGGCTATTTCACCAGCCCTCCCTGATTAATTTTTATGATTTCTTTACCTGTTTTTAGGTTTAATCACTTCAACAAATTTAAGTAATTCCAGGATGGAATGTTTTCTGTTCTATGTTTATCATCATTATTAAACTCATGTAAGATTTACAGACTATATCTCTTTCACTTGGAAACAGCCTCATCAAAAATTCTAATTCTGAATCTAGAATCATGGAAACCATAAGTTACTCACAACTACCTGCCACCTTCTAAAATGTCTCAAACCCACCAGATGTGTGGCAGGAGTGACTCTTTGCTAAACAGTAAACAACAACAGACAGAGAGGAGATAGACACACACACTCACACATGCCACTGTAGCTGTACTCACCACCTTCAGCTGAGACTAAACTGGGCTTACCTCTGGGCTGGGCAGTAGCTACAGTGTTAATGACAGTGGTAGCAAGAGACGCAGCAACAAGAGAGTAACACGCAGCGAACGCCTTGCTCTTCCTACCTGCCTCAGCAATTCGGGTTTCTCAGTTACTCCCCACAGCAACTCGGCCAGGTGAATACTGATATATTGCTTCCATTTTTTGGAACAGGAAGTAGACACAGAGAGGTTAAGTGACTCACAAAAGCCCACAGAGGTAGTAGTGACAAGTTGTGCCTCAGTTTGGGTTTGGAGTTGCTTCCTGTCCCTGCTCATTACTCAGAGAAATAGCAGATACAAAATGAGGAGTGGAGAAAAGAGTTGAACTGTAGTCCTTTCTCCTGTGCTGCTGTTGGTCACCATAGTGGAAAATACTACAGATGGCATTTTAAAGCTTAACAGATGCAGGTATAAGGCGTTCAAGTATGGAAGCCCATTGCTTGATCTCTCAAACTGGTAAATGCTTATCGGGAAAGTGACTTATAGTTTCATGGTAACAATTAAAAACCAAAACTCCAGAGGCCAGTGAGATAGGTCACTGGACTAAAACGCCTGCTTAGGTAAGCACAGGGACTGCGGTTTGATCCCCGGCACCACATGCTGCACCGGCTTCATCCCCTAGAACAGACTTAGCCTGTTACAGAGTCCGGGCATAGTGGTGCATGCCTGTAATCCCAATGCTGTGGAAGCTGAAAATAGGAGGATTACCATGAGTCTGAACTGCATAGTGAGAGTCTTTAATAACCAAATACATTAAAAAAAAAAAAAAGCCTTCACTGCAATAATACCTGCAAAAAGATTTTCCCAGCTCACCTTCTCCCCTGTCTTGAGTAAAAATTTTCCGTGATGTACATTGCTCAAAAGAAAGCAAAAGATGCCTTCTACCCGAGATGCAGTGCTGAAGGCCAGAGGGGGCCCTCTGATGCCTCCGATGAGCTCTGAATGTGAGGTCCAACCCCACACTCCTGAGGGCCGAGGGTGCTGTGCACCCAGAGCCTGAATGAATGTGGAACTGCCCTGCACGCTGCACCATCCTCCTCGAGGCGCACAGGTGCCCTTGGCTGACCTTCACAAGTTACCCTGGGTGAGTTGCCTACTGTGTGGGTAAGCCTCTACCTCCTCTGAGAATAATATGATTTTTACTTATTCATACTATCTGTGAACAGGATCATCATAAAGGAAAATGAAATAACACGACACTCCTTTTAAAAGAGTGTTCAAATTGGTAAAGAAAACTTCATGGTGTTTTGTCCAGTCCCAGTTCCCCCTCCTTATTCTAAGTAGTCTCATAAATCTGAACTGGAGTAGAAAAAAGCTAGGGTTTCCAGATTCAGGACCATTGGTAGACCCTGACAACCAAAATAAGGCTAAGGCACTGTTTCACAGAAGGTGTAAGCAGTTCATGAAGAAAAGCAATTACTGGGGACGACCCGGGGCCTCCGGATCCTGAATAGACCCAGAGCGCAGGCCCGGCAAGTGAGTGAGATGACCCCGGCCATGGGATCCTGAACAGACCCAGAGCACAGACCTGGCAAGTGAGTGAGATGACCCAGGCCACGGGATCCTGAACAGACCCAGAGCACAGACCCGGCAAGTGAGTGAGACGACCCAGGCCGCGAGATCCTGAACAGACCCAGAGCGCAGGCCCGGTGAGTGAGTGAGTTGACCGGGCCCGCGGGATCCTGAATAGACCCAGAGCGCAGGCCCAGCACGGAACCCTTCAGCAGAACTCCCTGCAAAGTTGCTAGAGGCAAGACCCACCCAGCTGATTCAGGAGCAGAACATCTTGCCAGAGAGACACAAAGGGTTCAACTCTAATGCCTGCAGCAGAAAGAAGTGGAGCACAGCAGCCAGATCCAAGCAACACCCACGTGAAGGAATCTGAATTTCATAGATCCAGACCTGGTGCTAAGGTAATAACTCTTTCTAAGTTCTACACCAAAGGTCAGAAGACAGTGGTATACAAAATGACAAAGAGAAGGAACAAAATGCAGTCTCAGACCCCGAGTCCACTCAGTACAAATGCAGAAGACACTAGCTCTGAGGAAACTGGAAACCACACACCAAATATCTCTGAAATAATAGCGTTGACAGTAAAGAATCAACTGCAGAAAGGTATAGAAGAAATCAGATCAGAAATAATTT